GGTGACATTTCAAAGGCAAGGGAGTGGTTCCTTCGGCTGGGCCATTGCATGTGTTCTGACTTTAATTGCTATCAGGCACCCTGACAAACGGTAGCCAGTCCACACCTTCCTTAGAATCAGAAGCAGGGGGTGTGCTTAGAGAGCTGAGGGTTTGCCCTTTGAGTTTTCTGACAGAAACGATCGCAACCTTCAGAACAAGACAACTCGGGTTACATAACGACTCATCTATTCAAGTAAGCTGACGACACTTAGACTAAGGAACCTCTATAGAACGACCACTCCTAACCACTCCAAGAGAAATAACATCATGGGATCCCTTATGGGCGCCGGTTCTATCCTGGCAGCCCCGCTTCCCTTCCAGCTCCCTGCCTGTGGCCCGGGAAAGCAGTCAAGGACGGCCCAAGGCTTTGGGACCCTGCACCCACGTGGGAAACCCAGAAGAGGCTCCTGGCTTCGGATCGGCATAGCATCGACCGTTGCGCTCACTTGGGGAGAGAATCATCGGACGGAAGATCTTCCTCTCTGTCTCTCCTCTCTGTATATCCGCCTTTCCAATTAAAAAATAATAAAAATAAATATTTAAAAAATAAATAAATAAATAACATCATGGTGTTTTCATCTGCTACCCCAGCAAAGCTAACTGCACTAGAAGGGAAAGGTTCCACAGACAACTTTTGGCTCAATTTTTAGCCTGCAAACTATTTTGCAACAAGGTATACAAATAAGGACTAGTGTTAGCTTCTTCTGGAGATGTAAATGGGCAAGAAATTTCAGAAATCCTAAAGACACACACCTAGTACACGAAAATTCTATTTCAAGAACTTTATTGTAAGAAACCAACTGGATATAGGTGTGAAAATTACATTACAAAATCAATTCTAGTATTAATTCAGTAGATGAAGACCACTAAAATCACCTAAAAATATAACAGTAAAAGTCCACTAAGTAACTTCCAAAAAAAAAGTATTTATTTTATTGGAAAGGCAGATTTACAGAGAGAAAGAGAAAGATCTTCCTGCCACTGGTTCACTCCCCAGGTGGCCATCACGCCCAGAGCCCAGCCAATGTGAAGCCAGGAGCCAAGTGATTCTTCTGGGTTTCTCGTATAGGTGCAGGGTCCCAAGGCTTTGGGCCGTCCTCTACCGCCTTCCCAGGCCACAAGCAGGAAAACATGAAAATGGGTATCTGCTTGGACTTGCTCATATTACACCTCTGCCATCTCCATGAGAAGATCATGCTTCACACAGTCCCTGGTCCAGGAGGATGACAGACACCTGGGTCAGTGCCTAGCCTAGATTATAGCCAGTGAGGATGAAGGAGCCCCAACGAAACCAGCCAGGTGACTGCTTTAGATCAGGCCACCCCCCTGGCTGATGTACATACAAGCTAAATCAACGCTAACTGCTGCTTTAAAACCCTGAATATAGGTGTGGTTAAACAACATTTCTGTGTAATTATACACGGATACTTAATGCAATGCACAAAAGTTCATATGAAAAACAGAAAAATCTGACGCCAGAGCCACGGCATACTACACTAAACCTCTGCTTGCAGTATCAGCATCCCAACTGGCAATGTTCACGTCCCGACTGCTCCACTTCCCATCCAGCTCCCTGCCTGTGGCCCGGGGAAGCAGTGAAGGACGGCCCATAGCCTGAGGACCCTGCACCCACAGGAGAGACCAGAGAGGATCTTGGCTTCAGATGAGCTCAGTTCTAGCCATTACGGCCACTTGGGGAATGAACCAGTGGATAGACAATCTGTCACTCTCTCTGTAAATCTCCCTGATTTAAAAATAAAAACTAAAAAAAAAAGGCAACAGGTCTTCAAAAAATTTATGAAAAAGCACATATAATGAAAAAACTATTCATGAATTACACACACACACAGAGGCAGTGGCTTAACCCACTGCATAATGCTAGCTCCTAAACTAATTCTTTAATTTCCATGAATGTTTAAAGTACTCTCCTATTTATCCCAAATGCTAATGGAGAAACTTCCAATTCAAAATGATAGATTGATAACATGTTTATTATCATACCTAAAAAAACCTCACTGAGAAAAAAAATAAGGAAATAATACTAGTATTAAACCAAAAAGAATAGGAGATAAGGCTACAGAAAAAAAATTTTAACACAATAGTGGAAAATATAAAACAAGTGAAAGAGGGATAAATGACTTAGCAATATGGAAGAAATTAGAGCTCAGTGGCCTACCAAGAGGAGTATTAATGAAAATCAGGCCAACTCACACACCAAAGAACATGTGAGAGATCCATCCCCTAGCCATCAGGCACAGAGTCAAAAGCCAAGTGTGTTAGTGTTCAAACCAGTAAGGATCTCAGGTCTCAGCCAAACGACGTGCTGTCAGGTACATGTTGCACATATTCCATCCCTGTAACGTTGTGCTCCACCTGCAGAAGACCACGGATCTGGAGAAAACCAACTGAAGAGCACAGACTCTAGGAGACGCGAAAGCATAGTGAGGCGCTCAGGAGAAATGTGGACTGAAAAGTAACAGAATTAAGCGAAAAGACTAGAGACTGAAATCAGCCACCACTGGCCCATAGCCTCCCTTCCATCCCAGCTCAATCCCAAATCTCTGATAGGACTCCTCTTTGCAGAAACAACTTCAGAGGAAAATCCAACCTAGAGACAATGATATTTATTGATGGCTCCCATAAAAAAAGGCCAGCCCAATGCCTGATCTCCTTACAGCAATACTGATCTAGCGATGAGCCCTCGTGTGGAACGGTTAACCTGTGAGTGCCTTACTCATAAACGGCCAGGATCATTACACATAACAGGAACTCCTCTCACAGGGAAGAAGAAACAGAAACCAAAATAAGAGGGATAAAAACGAAGGATGAGGAAAAAAAATCGCTTGGAACAGATGGCAATGAAAAAATTATATACTCAGAAAAAAATAAAAGGATATCGAGACAAAATAAAAACAATGTTTCAAAACAAAAAAGCAAAATCTAAAATATTATACACAAAATCTAAGATTTAAAACAAGTAAAACAGACTGGGAAAAAACATTAGAAAATAAAAGATGTACATTTGATCAATCAAGAAAGTCCAACAACCTATAGACATTTAAAATAAGAAGACAGAGAAAACTTAAGGGAGAGAACTTGAAAAACAGAACAAGAATACATTGAGAATGAAGGAATACTAGTTTTCACACTGAAAGGACTTATTAAGCAAGCAGCTTAATGAATGAAGAAAGAGCAAAGGTCAAGACATACCATCATGAATTTCAAAAAACCAAGGTGAAAAGATGCCCAATTTTTCAGAAAGAAAAATCGAGTTGCTCATAATGCCATCAAACTGCTCAATGGCAATGAAAGTACTAAAAGATGGTGAAGAAATACCTTCAAAATTCTAAAGGGAGAGTTAGAAAAGTCTAGGAGCTGACACACTGGCTCAATAGGTTAATTCTCCAACTGCCAGCACTAGCGTCCCATATGCATGCCGCTTTGTGTCCCAGTGGCATCACTTCCCACCCAGCTCCCTGTTCATGGCCGAGGAAAGCAGAGGAGGACGGTTTGGGTCCCCTAGTCCCTAATCCACTGGGAGATCCAGAAGAAGCACCTCCTGCCACTGTGGCCACTTGGGTAGTGAACCAGAGGATGGAAGATCTCTATCTTTTTCTCTTTAAAAAATTTTTTTTTTCTCTAAAGTCTAGAATTCTTCCCTCCATCAAAATATTAATTCAGCATCAACCAGAAATAATATTTTTTAGATATAAAATGCCTACATTATCTATTTCATAACCTTTTCTTGAAAATTAAGAGGAAGTACCTTAGCAAAACAGAACAGAAAAATATCAATAAATGAGAGAAGCAATCCATCCAGGAAAGAAGGGATACAACACAGGAGAATCACAGTGGAGTCCAGTATGACAGACAGCACTGACCCAGAGACGAGGAGACATGGGAGCAGGACGATACGTGAGGGATGTCTCTAGAAAAACAATGACATCAACAGGCTATCTCACATTTTAGGCATTAAAATGTTTAGAGATTTCACAGATCTAATGGATTAACTACGGAAGGAAAATTAGGCAAAAACAATGACAAAAACGCACAAATAAAGAAAAAAGGCATGTAAGAAAGTAAAAATAGCAATAGTCAATATCTTGCCCACCAGTCAGTAATACACACAGCATCACAAAATACAGGTACCGACTTCTTACTATTACTTGAAAAGGGAGTTAAGGACAAAGTACAAATACTGGTGCCAAAGAGTTAAATCTTTAACAAGCGTAATGGACGTGCAATAAACAATGTCTACAAGTCATAATCCATCTGAAGACCAATTTAGAAATACAGATGCAAATGTTGGTGAAAGTCACAATTTGCTTGGATGAAGTTAACCAGGGGTAGGAAGAAGACTGCCATTTTCACTATAAGTGTCAGAGAACCATTTCAAAAAACTATGTGAAAAGTGACTGAGCGGTAGACGCTCAGGACATTTTAATTTGTTTCGTCTAAATTTTTTGTAATAATCTTTTATAAGCTTCATAATTTTCAGAAATATTTTTATTAAGTGTTGCACTATCTTATTGAAAAACAGCAATAGCATGGGACTGATGTGGTGGAAAAACAAACTAATCCTCCACCTGACAGCACTGGCATCCCATTTGGCACCGACCTGTGTCCTGGCTGCTCCACTTCCCATCCAACTCCCTGCTTATGGCCTGACAAAGCAACAGAGTATGGTTCAAGTCCCTGGGCTCCTGTGCCCACGTGGGAGACCTGGAAGAAGATCCTGGCTCCTAGCTTTGGAGGAGCTCAGCTCTAGCCATTGCAACCATTTGGGGAGTGAATCAGCAGATGGAAGAAGATCATTGTCTCTATTTTTCTCTATAATTTTGACTTTCCACTAAAATAAACAAGTCTTTAAAAAAAAAACCCACAAACAACCACAAGACAGTATTTCAAAAACCTTGCACACATCAGGAACTGAACTTTATCCTCTCCTTCCGGACCTTACCTTTTATAGTAGCCAATATGAAGAAAGCAATGAGGGTGTTGTTGATGGCGCAGGTAGACTTGGCAACACAAGACAAGATCGTGTAGGGATTTAAGAGATAGCTGGGGAAGAACACACACAGTGAGCATTAGTAACCCTGGTCAATGGGCCAGGGAGTCTGGCCACCACAGCCAGGAAATTCAAGAGTCTTACTAAAAATCTACTAAAAGGAAATCAACTACTTGGTCAATGAGTTCTCCTGAAAGAAGAGAATGGAGTAGGGAAGTTGGAGTGAGTGAATAAAAGGTACTGAATGCGGACCACCTATTCTATGCTAAGCGCTATGTGGAAAACACGACCTTTAAACATCACACAGATCCTGTCCACCAGCAGTAACATTACTCTGGTTTCATCACTTCAGTGGTTAGGCCACTTCCCAGTGGACTCACGAGCTAGCAAGCCTTCTCAAGATGGGCGCTGGCCCTACAGCCAATGTCTTCTATACTACTACAGATTTAAAAAAAAAAAAAAAAAAAGCAGAATTCTACAAATTCTCATAATCATCCTTGAAAACTACGCTTTTTCCTCAGGCAGATTCCTAGGCTCTGACAGGGGCCGCCTCGAAGGGCAGCTTGGATTGAGACCTCTTCAGAGTCCTGCAAAATCTACTGAGCCACACCTGAAGGACAGAGAAATAGCATTTTTACTGAATTCAACCAGCCAATTGCCATAGAACAGGACTTCTTGCTCTCTCACTAAAAGCTGAAACCCTGGTCTCCTAATCTATAGGAAAGAACGGACTGAGAAAATAAATTTGATAAACCTGTGGGTAGTAAAATCTTACATATATACATATAATGGATTATTTTTATTTATTTCAATCCTACCTCCACAAATTATTTGAGGCAGACAACAGGTATTAAAGATAGTGAAGAAAAAAAAAAAGCTAAGGTCCTTCCCACTAAACATGGCAGTGTCTGCCATGAAGGGTGCCAGGGGCTACAGATGAATATTAGCCTGCCAGTTACTTCTGTCACGAAAATTCCTTGCACGGCATCTTCGAGTGCGCTCAGAGAACACTTTGCACAGTTTGACCATATTCGAAAATACCTTTCAACAAAGAGCATGGCTTTCACAGAGGTATGGGCTGGATTCAGTTTTCTTCACAACAAGAACTTCACAATGCATTGCAGGGCCCAGCGGCATGACTTAGCAGCTAAAGTCCTCGCCTTGAACGCACCAGGATCCCATATGGGCACCGGTTCTAATCCCGGCAGCTCCACTTCCCATCCAGCTCCCTGCTTGTGGCCTGGGAAAGCAGTGGAGGATGGCCCAAAACCCTGGGACCCTGCCCCCGTTTGGGAGACCTGGAGGAAGTTCCTGGATCCTGGCTTCAGATCGGCATAGCACCGGCCGTTGCGCTCACTTCGGGAGTGAATCATCGGACAGAAGATCTTCCTCTCTGTCTCTCCTCCTCTCTGTATATCTGACTTTCCAGTAAAAATAAATAAAATCTTAAAAAGAAAAAAAACAAAAGAATGCATTACAACAGGAAAACCACATTATAGATGGAGTAAAGCTCCAAGTTCAAGCTCAAAGACCAAAAGCTGTGAAACGGGATCAAACATCGGATGGAGAGAGAGGTTTCTGAGTTTTAATTAGTATTTAATAAAGTAAATGTAACTGAGAAAAAAAAAAAAAAACAGGACCGGCACAATAGCTAGGTGACTAAGTCCTCGCCTTGCACACACTGGATCTCACACGGACACTGGTTTGTGTCCTGGCAGCCCCGTTTCCCATCCAGCTCCCTGATTGTGGCCTGGGAAAGCAGTCGAGGACGGCCCAAAGCCTTGGGCCCCTGCACCTGTGTGGGAGACCCAGAGGAAGCTCCTGGCTCCTGGCTTTGGATTGGCTCAGCTCCGGCAGTTGCGGCTGCTTGGGGAGTGAATGACTGGACGGAAGATCTTCCTCTCTGTCTCTTCTCCTCTCTGTATATCTGCCTTTCCAATTAAAATAAATAAATCTTTTAAAAAGTAAATCTTTAAATAAATAAATAGATAAAAATCAAGACTCAACAGCAGGGGAAAACGTAAATGAAAGTAGAAAGCAAAGGTCAAGGAGAGAAGAGCATCTTCCACAGCGCGATAATAAGCGGCTTCAAATCCGCTTCTGAGTTTCCTGGCAGACAAAGTGAAAAGGGAGACCTGTTGCATAATTCTGATTATCAGATGGGAAGAAACATACCAGTGTCTCAGAGAAAGGTTAGAGTTATTATTTGTGAATAAAGAACTTAAATGCAATAATAGCTCCTGGGAATGTAAGATTAGCCTTTCTAAAGCCAAAGGCCTGGATGTTGTTGAGGTTTTCTTCTCTCCTCCGTCCTCCCCCCCAGCAATTACAGACAGACTTGTTACACAACTTTTTAAGAAATGGCTGTTGTTATTACAAAACTACCCTCCCAACAAGGAGACATACAAGTTCATACTAATTTACAGTATTTCCAAACTTCCGGGTCTATTAAGGTAGCTTCCACCAGTATCTCTGAAATACACAAATGCAGACTGATACGTACAAATTTAGTGGGAAGGAAAAAAAAAATGGCTCTGGCAAAGAATGAATGATATTTAAGAAGCCATTGTGCTGACACCTATGTGGAAAAATTAAAAGGAACATCACACACGAGGTAGGGTTGAGAAAGAAAAAAAACTGTCCTCATAGGGTCCCCGCTCATTCTGAAGTTTGAAGGGTAGGTTTTTCCATGAGGAAATTTGTCTTGCTTATTGTGTATCCCTAGAAACCAGCACACTGTAACGCTCCATGACGATCAGTTGACTGCGTATTTACTCACATTTGACTATCTCAGGAATATAAACAGGAAAAACCTGAAAGAACTCAACACAACCGACAGCACTGGGTGCTCCTAAAGCACGCCTTCAGCGCCTCGGCAAGCTCCACTCCTGACGGGGGCCGTGCAGCCGGATGGGGCTACCTGCCACTCACTTCCCTTTCCTGAACTACAAATAAATGGGAGACTAATCTGTGACAATGACACGAGTTCCAGCAAACAGCCACACAAAGAGCAGAATTTTTATTCAATCTATATGTTACAAATGGAGATGGCTACAGAGAGGCTTGGCGCCCTAAGCCAGTGCCGAGCCCAAAAGCACTTGTGAAGGGTCTGATTGTGCATGTCGCTGTGCGAGCCTTTGTCCCCGCACAGACAGAATGGCTCTGTCTGCTTTGCTGGCCAGAACCCCGGTTGTGCAACTGAACTACAGCAAATACTTGATGACTAAGACAGCAAATCTCCAAAAATACAACAAACAACATGGGAACGTCTCATCAGATTTTCCTTGCATTCATTGGCACTGAGCCTGGATCTGCCAGGAAATACTTACCACAGAGCCACTTTCAGAGGGATGTAACGCATTTCCATAGGGGTTCGGATGAGTTCGGCCACATCAGGGGCATACTGGTCCAGTTCTAGGAGGAGTTTTTGCTTTTTAAACTAGGGGGAAAAAAAACCAACACAATGTGAAACAAATTACATCCCCTTTTCAGGATGATTAAGTCCTTGAGGTGGCCGACACAGCCCTATGTCAGCTGACCCTAGCACCCCATGCCCCAGGTTCATTTCACTCTTGCTCCCCCAACCTCCCGCTTTCTGGGTGCCAGTACCATGAACGTGCCAACACCCGCTCCTGCTCTCAGGTCTCTGCATCTGATCTAACTCACACGGTCTTGGGGTTTCAGTTAATCACCACTTTCTCAGGAAAGCACACTCTCTTCCTTACTTCCTCTGATAGCACACTGTTAAGAGTTTCAATTTCTCCAAGTATTTATGTAATTGCTGTCTGCTTCTCTCACTAGACAAGTTCCATGAAGGCTGGGAGTATTTTCAAGTAAGGTGGAAAACCCTAAATGTTGCACTATCTTGGGTTTTCTCCTTTATGCTCCTGTTTCAAGCTTTTTTCCTTTCACACAGAAAGATCCAGAAGGACCATGATAAAAGAAGAGATGGGTGGGGCTGGAAGGTTACATGGCAAAGACAGAGCAGACTAGGGGAAAGTTCTTGCCTTCCCCTGATCTGTCCCCCAACAAGCTCATGGGTGTGCTCCTGAATGAAAAAGACAGCCAACCTTACAAGCAAACATGCGCGGGATAGAAGGAAAATGTCTCCGAAATCAAAGCAGGTAGCTTTGCTGAGTTAAAGTCCAAAGAGTCGGGCCCGGCGTGGTAGCACAAGCGGTTAAGGTCCTCGCCTTGCACACCCGGGATCCCATATGGGCGCCGGTTCTAATCCCAGTGGCCCCGTTTCCCATCCAGCTCCCTGCCTGTGGCCCGGGAAAGCAGTCGAGGACCGCCCAAAGCTTTGGGACCCTGCACCTGTGTGGGAGACCCGGAAGAGGCTCCTGGCTTTGGATCGGCATAGTATCGGCCGTTGCGCTTACTTGGGGAGTGAATCATCGGACAGAAGATCTTCCTCTCTGTCTCTCCTCTGTATATCCGCCTTTCCAATAAAAAAATAATAAAAAATAAATCTTTAAAAAAAAAAAAAACCCTAGTGGCTAAATCCTCGCCTTGCATGTGCTGGGATCTCATATGGATGTTCGTTTAGGCCCTGGCTGATCCACTTCCCATCCAGCTCCCCGCTTGAGACCTGAGAAGCAGTAGAGGTTGGCCCAAAGCCTTGGGACCCTGCACCCACGTGGTAGACCTGGAGGAGGTTCCTTGCTCCTGGCTTCGGATCGGCACAACACTGGCTGTTGCAATCACTTGGAGAGTGAATCATCAGATGGAAGGTATTTGTCTCTCCTCTCTATATACTGACTTTGCAATAAAAATAAATAAATCTTTAAAAAAAAAACTATTTAGGCCATTTCCTGTGATGCCAGCATCCTATATGAGTATAAATTCATGTCCTAGTTGTTCCACCTCTGACCCAGGTCCCTGCTAACGCACCTGGGAAAGCGGCAACAGAAGGCCCAAGTCTTTGACCCCCTGCATCCCTACCCATGTGGGAGACAGGATGAAGCTCTTGGTTCCTGGCTTCGACCAGCATCAGCTCTGGCTTTTATGCCCATTTGAGGAGTGAATCAGCAGATAGAAGATCTCTCTCTCTCTCTTTTATTCTTGTTCTCAGTCTTTTTGTTTTGTTTTGTTAATTGGAAAGTGGGGTTACAGAGAGAAGGAGAGACAGATCTTTCATTCGCTGGTTCACTCTCCAGAGCTGAGCAGAGCTGAAGCCAGGAGCCTGTTCCTCGTCTCTCACGTGGGTGGTACAGGGTCTCAAGGCTTTGGGCTGTCATCTACTGCTTTCCCAGGCTACAAGCAGGGAGCTGGAAGAAGAGTGGAACAACCAGTGTCCATATAGCATCCAGGCGTGTGCAAGTTGAGAACTTTATCCACTAGGCTACCACTCCTAACTTTTTCAAATAATAATAAAAAGTCTTAGAAAAAAAAATAATAAAAGCTCTTCATTAAAAAAAAAATTCTATTCTGATTACTGTCTCCCAGAAACAGAACACTGGGAATCCAATTTAACCTTCAATAAAATGAACACAGTGAGTTAAAAGGTATATTCATTTTCCTTTGAGCAGAAACACTGGTGAAAAGCAGAGGAAGATATTGAAGAGTTCTCATATAACCAATGTCTAACACAGAGTCCAAAAAGTCTGAACACGCACAGGTGTGTGGACAGTAACAGTTCTCAAGAAGACACACGGTTCAACTTTCCATTCCGCGGCTTCTATTAGTGAAGCTGTCTTGTGGGTTTGGGCTTGTCATCTCAGAGCTGGCTGAGCAAGCCAGAAGCTTCACTCCTACTGCTTTGCATTTTAAAGCAGTTGGAACCAGTAAGTACAAGGGCTTTGATTCTTATTGTAACAGCAAAGACCAACAGGTTACCCAATCTACCCAGATTTGTCCCACCCACTAACCACTTACCACAACTTTATTGAAATCCTGGATTGCAAAATAGAGGGCAACAGCAGTGAGCACATCGCTTATCTATCAGGAGAAAGAGAATCCAGAACAGAAAAGAACTCAGTTAGTGCAGAGGTGATGGGATGCTGCCAGGGCCTAGGGTTTCAGGATGGGGGGGGCAACTAACCAAAACCTAACCCTCCCAGTCAGCCTTTAACGTATGTCAATGCCTAGCACACAGTGAGTCCCCCTGCAACAGCAACAGACAGACAGCAACGATTACAATTAAGAAAGACCTCAACAGTCTTGACTCACATCTTCAACACTAGACAAGTGTTTCAAGTCACTATGCCTTCACACCAGGCCCTGTTATCTCAATTTTGAATGTTTCAATTGCTGGACACAGAAAATCCTCATGCTTAAGTCCTCATAAAGTGACTTGGCTTGGGAAACGCAGGATGCCATTCACACTGGCATCACAGATTAAAGCCAGTCATGTCATTTTGGAGGTAAAAAAAAAAAAAAATTCAAGACTATATGCACTATCCAAAAATCAAATTCTAAAAAGAATAAGGAATTGGAATGGGTCAGATGTCAGAGATTATTCCTCATACTTCCAAAATACAGCCACAATTCCAAGAATTCAAATTAGACATTTAGGGTGAGTGTTTTGCCACAGTAGTTAAGTGCCAGTTGGGACACCTGCAGCCTGGGCTGAAACTGCAGCTCCACCTCCCACTGTAACTTCCTGCACCCTGAAGGACAACAAGTGCCAGCTCCGTGGCTCAATCTCTCCCACACTCCTGGGAGACCCACACTGGGATCCCATCCTGGTTCGGCCCTCGCACAGCTAAAGAAGGGATGTGGGGAGTGAAACAGAGAGTAGATCTCTCTTGGCGTCTATTTTCTTAAAAACAACAACTGAATGTGAAATGAGAAATAGATATAATGATTTTATGTAAAAGGTTACTTACCATAAATACCAACTCAGCATAATCAATCAGGAAATGAAAGAGATAGATTATGAGTGGAGTCTGCAAGAAAAAAACATGTTAAAAAATTATATTAATCCTTACTAGACCTTATCACCAGCTTCCATTCCAGGGGGTTTACGAAAAAACTCTTCTGTCACTAACATCTTTCTCTCCTCCAATACTGTCTATGTTAAGTTGGTCAGTACAGGTCTGGGGGATAGTGGAATTTCACTGGGTCATTTCTTGCCTCTAGCACTGCTGAATGAAGGGAATAAACAAAACCTGACACAAGATGAACATCTGTTTAGGAACTTTTAACACTAAAAGCCTGAGGTGAATTTTAGTTTTAAGATATATATATATATATATATTAGCTAAGGGGAACTCCGGAGTGCACCAGATTGCCTAAAATTAATAAGAGGAGCTGGAAAATATTTTCCTCTGATCCCTGACAAATCTGTACAGAATTAATGTTATTTCCTCATCAAAGGTTTGGGGAAAACTCACTCCGTGTGAAGTCATCTTAGCCAAAGGGTTTATTTTTTTAAGATGTTAAAGATTCCATTTCTTTCACAGATAAAAACACTATTCAGATTTGCTATATTTAACAGTTTAGATTTTGTTCTTCAGGAATTGGTCAACTACTATATAAAATGTCAAGCTTCTTAAAACCAAGTTATTCACAATTTATTTTAAAGTAATAAACTTTTCTGAGTATGACTAGCTGCATCACACAAGCTAAGATACTGTTTCTCGATATTATTCAGTTGAAGATACATTCTAATTTCTAGACTTTTTAAAATTTTGTTTTCAAGACTTTTTTTTTATTGGAAAGGGAGATACTGGTTGTCATCTACGGCCATACCACCCTGAACCCGCCTGATCTCAGAAAGGGAGATATGCAGAGAGAAAGAGCTACAGAAAGACCCTCCATTCTCTGATTCGCTCCCCAAGTAGCCACAATGATCAGAGCTGAGCCAATCCTAAGCCAGGAGCCAGAACTTTTTCCTGGTCTCCTACATGGGTGCAGGGTCCCAAAGCTTTGGGCCATCCCTGACTGCTTTCCCAGGCCACAAGCAGGGAGCTGGATGGGAAGTGAGCAGCCAGGGATCCCAACACTTGCAAAGTGAGGATTCAGCCAATTAAACCATCACATCACCCCCTCTTTGTATTTTAAATATATACTTCTAGTTTACTCTGCTGTGGTCACAGAATATGGATATCTTTCTATTGGCTTTCGATTCTACCACCTCCAAAGAAAAATTAGCTTCCATCTTACTGTTATTCTTTAACAGTGACGCCTTTAGCGGATTTTAACCTCATCCTTGGTTTTGAGCAGTTTATTATAGTGTTATGTTTTCTCTGACTTTATCCTATTTGGCTTTATGGAACCTCTTAAGTAAAGTTCCTTAATTTACAATTTCAATTTACAATTCGTAAATTATAATTGAAATTCATTAATTCACAATTTAATAAATTGACACCTTGAGTCACTTATTTTTTCAACTATTACTACCTTATTGACTTTCCCCATTCTGAAATTCCACTGTTTATGTGGTATAATTATGGGTATCTCAAAAAGTTTGAAAGATGAAATTAAAAGGCAAGTTTAGGAGCAGGAGTCTAGCCTGGCAGACAAAGACCTGCCGTGTTCAGTACTCAGCTCCTTACGCCCAGGAGCAGTTGAGATGGCTCCAGTAACTGGGTTCCTGGCACCGACTGTGGAGACCTGGGCCGAGCCCGATTTCCGGCTTCTGCCCAATTCAGTCTCAGCTGTTGTGAACATCTGGGGAAGAAACTAGTAGTTGGGGAAGCAAACACGTTCTCTCTCTTCCTCCATCCATCACCCACCCCCTCTGAAACAAGGAAATGTATTCTTCACATTTTATTTTGGTGCAAAAATTGTAAAAACTCATAGTTTCTCATCATATGCGTTCTGCACAAATGTCCTGAAGCATTCTCGTGTTGGACCTTTCTCCTCTGTACTTTCCCTGCTTTTCTCTCCATACTTAGCTGAGGTATTTTCTAGACCTTATTTTCCAGATAATTTCCTCTTCAGCTCCATGTAGTCTATTGCCAAAGTCATCTATTGCATTCTTATTCTGTTTTTATTCTAAAATGCTCATGATTGTTTTAAAATATTTCTTTGTTTTACTTAAAAGGCAAGAGTTACAAAGAGAGAGAGGAGAGACGGAGATCTTCCACCTGTTGGTTCACTTTCCAAACAGCTGTAAAGCCAAGGCCAGAAATGGGAGCTTCTTCTGGGTCTTCACATTGGTGCAGGGACCCAAAGCCTTGAGCCATCCTTTGCAGCTTTCCTAGGAACACTAACAGGAAGCTAGATGGGAAGTGGAACAGCAGGAACATGAACTGGCGCCCAGGATTTTTTTTTTAATTTTATTTATTTTTATTGGAAAGGCAGGATTTATAGAGAGGAGAGACAGAGAGAAAGATCTTCCATCTGCTGGCTCACTCCCCAAGTGGCCGCAATGACTGGAGCTGAGCTGATATAAAGCCAGGAGCCAGAGTTTCCTCTGGGTCTCTCATGTGGGTACAGGGCCCCAAGGCTTTGGGCCGTCCTCTACAGCCTTCCCAGGCCACAAGCAGGGAGCTGGATGGGAAGTGGAGAAGCCAGGACACAAACTGGCACCCATACTGGATCCTAGCACGTGCAAGGCAAGGACCTTAGCCACCAGGCTTCTGCACCGAACCTCATGATTCATTCTTACATATTCTGTATCTCCGGTAAAATTCTCTTGTCATTTAATCATTTGGTGGCATTTTGTCCAAATGTTACTAGCCAAATTCAGTAACTTGCAAATCTTTTTATGATCTTTTCTTTTAAAAATTTCTTTATCCTTTGGAAAGTCAGAGTTACAGAGAAAAGGAGAGACAGAGCTCTTCCATCTGATGGCTTACTCCACAAGTAGCCCCAACAGCTGGAGCTGAGCCAAACCAAAGCCAGGAGCCAGGAGCTTCTTCCAGGTCTCCCACGCAGGTGTGGCGTTTCAAGGCTTTGGGCCCAGGCTTTTGGGAGCTGAATGGGAAGTAGAGCAGCTGGAATACGAACCTGTGCCCACATGAGATCCCAATGACTGCAAGGCAAGGACTTTGGCTACTAGGCCACTGCGCTAGGCCCTTTCATAGTCTTTTTTTAAATCTCTGTATTTGGTAATTTCTGATCACACAACAGAAAAATTACAGCACTCTGGATGAGGTTATCCTCTTTCAGAAAAGATTTCCTTCAACGTCTGACAAGGAAACAGAACTGTATCACTTTAACCTAACTGGGAACAGAGCTAACTGGAAGTTGGATTCAATCTTTGCAAGACTGGTCTAAATCTGATCTTCCCTTATCCCTCCAGTGTAGTACTTCAGAAGTCCCATCAGAAACCCATGTCCTTTACCATGGCCTTGTGACGTTTGCTGGTTTCAAGTTTTTACTTCCCCAGCATCTAAGACTGCTAAAAATAGCTCTGCTTACCTCCTGGCCATCTTAACAGCCAATCTCTGTTTTGCTCCTTGGCCTCTCAGCCTGTGTCATTTACAGACTGAGAAGGCAGGGCACGCTGCTGGGCTCAACTGTTTGCAGTTTCCTGGCTGGAGGCTGGCCCCTCAGGTCAGGGCTATCTTGGTACTTTCCAGTGCATTCAAACAGATGATTTTTCTGTTCATCCTGCTTTTCTAGCTGTTCTTGGCAGGAAGGATGATCTGCTACTACAAGCTGTTCATCAATCCACAAAAACCAAAAAGGAAGTACATGATTTGGTTTTAGCGAGCCCATGCTGATGACTCAGGAGAGTCTCCAAATTCCAACTACACGAAATGTGTCCTAAAAGACTGTGATGGTCAACGGACAGCTTTCTGATGAGGTCAGGTTAGCACGGCAGAAAGAACCAAGGCTTTACAGTCAGACATGGGCTTTTTGATTCACTTTTAAGCATCATTTATTTGAAATGATCCTTAAAAAGTCTCAAAAGTGACAGAGAGGGAGGAAGAGAGGGAAAACAGAGGAGAGGGAAGGGAACAGGAGAAAAGAGAAAAACTTGAAGGAGAGGGAAAGGAGAGATAGAGAAAACAAGAGAAAGAGCGGGAAGGAGAGAGAAGGAGCAAGTTCCAACTTCGCTCCAGAGGCCTGCTCATGGCTGCTGCAAGCATCCTAAGAGTGAACCAATGGATGGAAGAAAGATCGATCAATCCATCTCTCTCTCTCCTAAATGGACAAAAATAAATGCAACTTAAATAAACGAGAAGGCTCTCAATTGGTCACAAAAGTGCCATAACAAAGATTCCCAAAAAGCCTGTTAGCAAATAGGCCAGTTACCATAGTAAGTTTGTAACTGAAGTAGTACTACTACAGAGAAGCATATGCTCAATATAATTTGCTTTTATTCTGTATTTCCATTTGAGTGACCAATCCCAGATGCAGCAAAGTGTAATACACTCCGAATTTTACTATTAGTACGTGGTGAAACACAGAAAACAGAAACGTGTGAGAGCAAACACTAAATTCACTGTCACCTATGCCTGTCCTCTCTATTTTTACATATTCTTGCCTTTCCCTAAGAACTGAATAATAAAACCTGATAAAGACTAATAAACAGCACAAAATCATGATAAACTTGTCACTGTGGCACAGTAAGCTGCCACTTGCAACATCAGCATCCTATATTCAGGTATCACTTACAGCTGGCTGCTCTGTTTCCAGTCTAGCTTTCTGCTGATGCCCAGGGAGGGCACTGGATGACAGCCCAAGTACAGGGGCCCCTGCCACCCACACGGAAGACCCGATGAAGTCCTGGAGCTTGCCTGGCAATTTGGAGAGTGAACCCCAGAGGATAGAATTCCATGTGTGTGTGTCTGTCTATTCCTGTCACTCAATTAAAAACATTTTTTTTCAAAGCATCTTCATTTGACATAATTTTGTTTCCTTATATTTTTTTACTTAGATTATACTAAATACAACTTCACTGTTAATCCTCTACTTCCAACTCATCATCATTCTGCTTTTACTACTGCAATAGCACCTTAATCACTTTCCCTGCCCCAACTCCGGCCCT